TTTGGAAGCTTTTAATAGGTTAATTGACAACATCTGAGTTAACTGGAGACACACCTCAAACACACTGCTTCCTTTTATGACAACATGGGAAAGTCTAAAGAAATCAGGAAGAGAATTGTGGACCTCCACAAGTCTGGTTCATCCTTGGGTACAATTTAGAGACACCTGAAGGTTCCACGTTCATCTGTTCAAACAGTTCTACACAAAGTATAAACACCATGGGAATGTCCAGCCATCATACCACTCAGGAGGGAGACGGGTTCTGTGTCCCAGAGATGAAGTGTTTTGGTGTGAAATGTGCGTATCAACCCCAGAACAAAAGCTAAAGACCTTGTGAAGATGCTGCTGAAGCTGATAAGAGAGTCATTATCCACAGTGAAACCAGTCCTGTACTGACATGGACTGAAAGGCTACTTAGAGAGGAAGAAGACATTACTCCAAAAGCAACATAAAAAAGCAGATTACAGTTTGTAAATGCACACAGAGACAAAGACTTTCATGTTTGGAGACATGTCCTGTGGTCTGATGAAACTAAAACTGAACTGTTTGGCTTAATGACCATCGTTACATTTGGATGAAAAAGGGAGAAGCTTGGCAGCCTGAGAACAGCATCCTAACTGTGAAGCACGGGGGTGGCAGCATCATGTTGTGGGGGAGTTTTGCTGCAGGAGGGACTGGTGCACTTCACAAAATAGATGGTATCATGAGGAAAGAACATTATGTGGAAATACTGAAGCAACATCTCAAGACATCAGCCAGGAAGTTAAAGCTTGGGCGAAAATAGGTCTTCCAAATGGACAATGACCCTAAACATAACGCCAGATTAGTTACAAGGTGGCTTCTGGGCAACAAAGTCAGTGTTGTGGAGTGGCCATCACAAAGCCCTGATCTCAATACTGTAGAAAATTTGTGATCAGAGCTGAAAAGGCGGCCAACAAACCTGACTCAGCTACATCAGGAATGGACCAAAATTCTATCAAACTATTGTGAGAAGCTTGTGGAAGGAAACCCAAAACGTTTGACCAAAGTCATACAGTTTAAAGGCAATGCTACCAAATACTAAGGAAATGTGTGTAAACTTCTGACTTAAAGAAAGTGATAAAAAATTCTCTTTCTCATTTTTCTGGCATTTAGCAAATATAAATAATTTTGGTAATCCTAACTGACCTGAAACAGAAAAAGTTTAGTCACATTTAATGCCAGATAGTGAGACAAAAAAAAAAAAAAGAAGTTGTGTGTGAAACTTTTGGTTTCAACTGCAGCAATCTCACACAGAGTTTTGTATTTGAGTGGTATATTTATATAGTCTGGGTAGTTTTCTTGGAACATAATCTTGTTGTTTCTCATAAAAAGAAACATTTCAGATGGCACTGTGCTACTTGTTTCTGCCCTTTGAACATAGGGTGACTCATCCTGTTCTGTTAAGGTCAGCCTCGGACGAGGACATGATACGTTAAGGGTCAGATAGACTCGCTAACATCCTGCTGGGATGTGTGTGTGTGTGTGGGGCTGAGAGTACCCAGAGGAAACCTTTAACCTTTTCAATGCAAAATGTTACTTTACCTGCGTGGACTCCTTATCTGTCCTCATCTATTCTCTTCATCCTGCAATCTGTGTGTCAATACTGTCATGAAAGGGATCAGTCAGGTAAGAGAATTTCACACAGGCACCGGCGTGGGCGCCTCGCTGTGTTTGAGGACTGTTCAATTCACACTGTTGACCTTTCCAGAGGCATAAATACTCCGTAATACAGCGTGTTGATAAACGATGTGGACTGTGGCATATGCTGCATTGTCAAACTCTTGTGACTCAGCATACAGCAGGTGTCATCTGCAGCAAAAATATTCATCATCATCATTCACGCATCTTGTTTGACCCGTCGTTTTTGTTATTTCTTTTTTGACTTCTGCGTAATTTTCTCTGCTCTGAAAGCATGATGCTGTTCAGTGTACTTTTACTTGATGTTTAGTGCTTGTTCCTACTTGTTCTTACAAGGGTACAAGTAGGTGCACAGCGGGGATGTATGAAATCACATGTTGCGGTCTTAGAATAATGTACGTCATTACTGGGATGCTGTAATACTGATTAATAATCTGGAAACATTCTCAGTGAATGAATAAAACACTATCAACTTAATTCTCTTATTTGATTACTATTACTAAGAGACCATTAAAAATGGTAGATTTGTAGGCAAGGATGGCATTTTTTAGACATTTTTGCAGCTAACTCAGTTTTTTATTTTTTTTTAACAAATAGAAAAAGCTTCAGCTGAGAACTTTCAATCTTTAAAACCACAAGGCTTTGGTATGATAGCAGCTGGTGCTGGTTGTGGATTTCCACCATTAAAGATCTGATTTAATTCTTTCTCTACTCACTGTTTTTTTTTGTATAGTCAGGGCTGGAGTCTATCTCAGCTGATTTAGGGTGAAGGCAGGGGACACCCTGGACAGGTCACCAGTCTATCGCAGGGCTACACTTAGAGACAGACAACCAAGCACACTCACATTCACACCTACAGACTTTTCACCAACTAGCCTCAGCATGTTTTTGGATGCGGAGATGGTCGCACTGTTTCCCGGTTTGCGTCCCGGTGAGGACACCCGGGATCTTTCTGTGTGGAGTTTCCATGTTCTCCCCGTGCAGCGTGGGTTCTCTCCGGGTTCTCCGGCTTCCTCCCACATGGTCCAAAAACATGTTGAGGTTAATTGGTGATTCTAAATTGTCCGTAGGTGTGAATGTGAGTGTGCTTGGTTGTCTGTCTCTAAGCGTGGTCCTGTGATAGACTGGCGACCTGTACAGGGTGTCCCCTGCCTTCACCCTGCCTTCCAGCCCCTCCGCGACCCTAGTGAGGATTAAGTGGTGTATAGATAATGGATGGATGGATGTTTTTGGACTGTGGGAGGAAGTCGGGGAACCTGGAGAGAACACACTGCACGGGGAGAACATGTAAACTCCACACAGAAGGATCCTGCGTGTTCTAACCGGGATGTGAACCAGGGATCTTTGAGCTGTGAGGCGACGTTGCTAACCACCGATCCACCATATATTTTATTTACTGACAATATTTCTGTCCTTTAGATTTTGAATGGGCTTTTACTTTTAACTGGGTATTTCTACAATTCAACAAAAACAAGAACTTTATTGATGGAAACACAACACAGACTTTTTGCTATTGTTGTTGTTGTTAACATTACCCGGCTATGACTGAACTAACCAGGACAGACTTGACTAACCATGCTGGCTAACTGGAGACAGTTGCACCAAATGTTGGTGAGCTCAAATTTAGCTTAACAAAAAATCTAAATGTGTTTCTTAAATTTTTGCATAACACACAAACTAGTACTCTAGTAGGACTGCTATATAATTTGCCTGCTCCAAGACTAAACAAACAATGTAGCTTGTGGCATAAAGGAACTACCTGCAGACATCTTTGATGTCTGACTGCTGCAACCAAGTTTAGTAAATTGCTAACTAGTTAGTTCCTCTCCGGTCATTAATTAAACCCCTTAAAAGACATCTCTGTGTCAAAGTTACAGATTTAGAAGTTGCTGTTTTTTCACGAGAATCCCCTAGAACCCTCCTCAAACACTGCAAAACCACTTTGTAAACCACAAAGAATAATGACACAGAACGCTCCACCCCACAAGCTGACAAAGTTGGTTTCTAAGTTTTTTAATGTAAGAAGTCTGAATCTAGGTTTCTGAGTCATCAGGACGTTGCAGTTTCAAGGTGGAAATGCTTAGCTGTGGTGTTTACTGATAATTTCACTCATGATGTGCTTACCGGCATAAAAAAATGAACATGTTAATAAGGTTAAGAACAATAGATTTACTGGAGGTGGTCTTTAAAAGTAGCCAGTGCTTACAAGGAACTTACGAACTTAAGATCTGGAGCCCATTCCTCATTAGATTGGAAATCTACTGGAACACCTTCTTAACAAGTCCATATGGTGTTTTTATACGTTAGGACACATATCATGAGCACATTAAGCAGTCACCACCATGGCTGAGGATTTCCACCTTGAACTGCAGCATACAGGTTTAAAAAACAAGGATTCAGACTTCTGACCTTTTATACAAACCTGAGGGAAAAAAATATCCTCTCGACTTGCAGGGTGGGTCAAAATTAAAACTTATTATGGAGTAGCATAGAATACAGTGTTTAGGCAGGTGAGCTGGTGTGCTTCACTTGCAGCTTGTGGGTTGGGATGGATGGAGAGAGACTTTGATACACAGATGAGTTTTTAGGGAAATGGACGAATATTACAATTTACATATACATTTTCTTCCACTAAATTTAAAAATAAAATGTGGACCCTTTTAACTGTACTGCATTTATCCACCAGCTATAGTTACTAGCAGCTTTTTAGATTAACATTTGACAAACTAATACCTTATTTTTACCTTAATAGTCCATCTTATTTAACTGGCATCAGTAAATATAACCTAACATGTAGGTTATGTTCTATGATTACTCTCTAAAGGACAGTGTCTGCAGGATGGCTACACTAAGCCTGATTGTCCATTTCTTTTGTTTTGAATAATTTTCCAACATGGTGTGTTAATTTTATTAATATTTCTCTCTTGATCTTGTAGCCTTTTTTTTTTCCCACCTCATGCACGTTGAGACGCAATTAGTCAGAAGTCTCGTCCATGGCGGTGGAGTGACGCTGACACTTGATGCAGTCACCCTGCAATCTCTGAGCAAACAGTAGCGATCACTAATTGCAGAGTACATGCGATCATTTGTCATCATCGCTTTCTCTTTGTGACTCCTTTTTAAAAAGCAGCCGCTGTCTGACGCACAGCTGTACACAGGAGGAGCGTTTAACTTTGATCACTTCAGTGAAAGGCGTCGGGAGTTGGAACTTCTGGGGAACTCAAGCTGCTTGGACAAAAAAAGAAAGAAAACATGGTGGAGATGTTGTAAAGTTAGCTTGATTTACTGCAACTTCGGGATTAATATACGCTGCTTTAGATCAGACATTTCCCTCTGAGAACATGGGAGGAGTGTGTTTATGCTGCTCGTGGACGTGCAGACCGGTGTGGCCGCTCTTCATCCTGCTGGCTGCCGTGACCTGCGTGCTGCACTGCTCAGAGAGTCCTGCAGCGGTGGTGGGAAAGATGTACCCACGAGGGAATCACTGGGCAGTAGGTAAGAGAAACTCCAGGAAAATATTGCATGTATTTAATTTTGTTGCATCAGAAATCAGAACTCTTGCATGCAAAAAAAAAAAAAACAAAAAAAAAAACCTGAACTGAATTGAATGATTATTGTTGTTATTGTGTGGAATATATGTTATATTGATTTAAAAAATAAATTAAAAAAGAGAGCGAAAGTGAGCTTTTACAAGATTGAATTTCCCTTCTGGGATAAATAAAGTATTTTTCATTTCATTTCATTTTTCAAAACAGCTCTTAATACAGTCATAATGTTAATCTATAACAATAATTGTGTGCTACCTTAAACAACTCTTTGGCTTGTTATTGTGCTAAACTACTTCATTTATCTGCAGCATAGCACCATAAAATGAACAAATAACCTGCAGAATTAACTGTTTTGTGGGTGACATATGCTGATTATTTTTCCCACATATCCACTCATGAACATGTGATGAAGCTTAAATAGCAGTTTAATTATAGGTGATGGCCTCTGGATGTTGGTTAAATCACAAACTGCACCCTCCACTGTGTCCGCAGGTCATCTGATGGGAAAGAAGAGCATCGAGAGCCTGCCTGAACTCCAAGAAGCGAACGGCGACAGCGGCCACCTCGACCCACCAGAAGCAGCCAAGAGGCTCCCGGAGCTGGACCGATACGAGCACCTGATGGAGGCTCTGCTGCATCCGAAGAACCACAAACAGCCACAAACTGCAGACAGGCTGCTCCACAGCAGCTGGACAGAAGAAGACAGAGAAAAATATCTCAGAGAGGTCAGTGGGTAGATTTTTACCTCCTTACTTTTCCCTCGAGCGCTGCAACAAATTCTAATTTCACTTCTCCTTTTTTTAAAATCACTGCTTCATAGATGTCAGACCTGCTGCTTATGGCTTGGAAACGGCAAGACAGTGACTCCACCTGAGTGCAAGACGGACCGAGAAGCTTCGTTATCTCATTTTAACTGCCTCTGTAATCACATATGCACACTGTTTAATTGTTCTGCTGTAAGAAAATGCTGGAAACAAGTTTTATTTTCTCAGTAATTCCACATTTCCTTATGTACATAATGCAGGATTTTGATTACTGACTGATCTGACAAAGTTGTGTTACATAAGCTGAGATCCTGAAATAAATTTATCGTTGTGATAACTGCATTGTGGATGTCAAATCCTGCTTTGCACGCCTCAAGTTTCATCACATCATCAGTGTTTTTGTTACAGTTTCTAACACTAGATGGCGCATGATACCAATTTTAGGAGCGTCTTGTATTTCAGTGCCACATTTTGAGTAACTTATCAGAAAGCTGGAGCCTAAAATGTTGATATGATGACGACTATAGATGAAAACAGACCAGCATGTGCTTTTTCACATATAAGCAAACACACCTCAGTGTCTGTGTGGTTGGATAGACGATGAACGCCACTATTACCAGGGGGGTCTGCCACACAATAGGAAATGCTAATTGAAACAACTTGATGACACACATCTTTCTCTTAAAGCCAAAGCAAAGTTTTCCCTCTACTTCTCTTTGCTCATTTGTCACGGGTGATCGGTGGACAATGGAGATACAAGCCACTTTCACCCCCATTATGGGTCTAATCCCAGCAGCGAATGGGATAAAGTTTACAGGAGTTAATGAGGAGGAAATAAGTGGGTTGAGAGACTTCATTCTCTAAAACTGGGAGAGGAAGTGTGGGAGTTTAAGCCGCTTCTTTACAACGCGCCCGACATGTTTGTTAATGCCGCTTTAAATTAAGGGATTAAACGGTGGTATGAAACTTTACTCGAGATTATTTTAATCAAAATGTGCATTTACAGTAACATGGGTTATTGACAGCTTTTGTAAATTCATTTGATTTTGAAACAACAGAATAATTCTTTAAAAAAATCTAAACTGAAAACCAATCTGCTCTCTGAATAGTGGATTTTCCCTCCTAACCTGGCAGCCATCCACCACTAAGGGGCGCTATATTCTGTATTTTTCACATCATTATCAGCGGAATATTCTGCCTCCTATCTGCACAATAATCAATTACCCTTTGGATTTTTTCAGATAAATGTGATATTGATAGATCAACTAGCAGTCATGCCTGATGCTGACATTCCCTTTTCTTTTCATTCTGTCTGACATTACTGACAACTGTAACTCAATTGTGACAAATTCTCAAGTAGTCACAGGTTTGTTATTTGAATATCTACATATACAGTTTATTGTATAGAGAAAATAATCACATTCAGTACATCTTTTCAAAATGAGGACCAAGATACGTGGAAGGAAAAACCAGCAGGGACTCAAAATAAACAGTGCTCCACTTACAAAAGTCAAATAAACAAATACTAACTGGTATGAATGGACTCTGGATTTGTTATATTGGCAACATAACACTGGATAAGTCTGGGGATGGGCCGACTGAATGTAAAACCTTTGAGTAAAAGCAATTTACAGAGATGATAAAGCAGAACAAAAACACCAGAAAATGATGAATCGTAAATCAGTCGTTTCATATTTTACAGCAGTTTCACAGTTTGTGTCGCGTCTCTTCTGAAAAGTCACCAATGAGGACGTCTGGAGTCCCGGAGAGCAGCTGGAGACGTCCCTCTTTAAAACTTCCCAAATAGTAAAATCCCGTCAGGATAAAGACGAAGTCAGTCATTCAACAGATTCAGCACCGTGTGTTCTGGGCCTTGAAGTCCGTTTTAAACCTCCACCGAGCATCACCAAGTTTTCCCAATCGACTGAATGTGTTCCTTGGCCTTCATCCTCAGTGAGGCAATACTGGAGTTCCTCGGGTCAGCCGAGCACTGGTATGCCGGAGGTGGGGGGCACATGGAGCCGATGTGGGGCAGGTGAGGGCCGTGTCCCAGGGACGGGGAGTTGAGGAAGGAGGCCGGCAAAGAGGAGGGCATGGAGGGGGGAGGAGAAGGGGTGTAAGTGCCTGTGAGGCCCTGCGAGCTGCTGATGAAGCCCGGCAGCGACTGCAGGGAGGTGGAGGAGGTGATGGGGCCGGAGAGCCAGGGGTCCAGCTGCAGCCCCGAGCCCAGGGAGCTGCTGGGGGAGCGGCTGAAAGACAGCAGAGAGGACGGGGAGGTGTCCTGGAGCTTGATGGAGCTCACCTCCAGCTTCTCCTGCCGACGCCACTTGGCCCGGCGGTTTTGAAACCACACCTGAGGAGAAAGAGGAGGAATTGAATATTTTCAATCCAGTTCAGTTTAATTTAGTATTTATTCCTGAATAAAAATAACTAAACAAAAACAATTCTATCAGCTTGGCAGATCAACAGATATATACAAAATGGAAAAAGAAAGGAAGAAAGAAAACATTCTAAACATTCCTAAGTGAAGAAACTATCACAAAAACAGGCTACGGCCTCTTTAATGACATTTATAATATAACCTTGTATAAAAAACACTTAGAAATATAGAAGAACAAAATATGGCATGAAGCTTTCAGCCATTTATTCAAGCACTTTGCATTTATTTGTATCTCTAAAATCAATAATGAGAGCCTGTTTTACATGCAATATTTAAAGAAATTGACCGAGCTCCTAATTTTTAAATTCGTTTTTGGTTATATTTAACTTTTTGTAAAAGCCAAGCGCACAGCAAATTAAACATTTTGGAAAAAAAAAAAAAAAAATTTGACTCCTATTTCCAAAAGTTAAAATGGAAACAAATAAAAATTTTTTTTTCCAGTTTCATAGCTGAGATTCCTTCAAACCTGCACTGACTTAACTGATCTAAACAAATGTTAATAACTGTAGACTTCAGAATAACAGACTTCCGGTTTATTAATAGGACTTTTTTTTTTAAACAAATATGTTGAGCTAATTAATGTAATGTTTTACTAGAATTCCAAATATAGATAAAATTAAATAAATTAATACAATAAATACACAATAAGAATAAGAATAAGAATAAGAATAAGAATAAGAATAAATTAAAATTGAAATCAAACTTGTCCAGTTAAAATAAACTGGACCTTTTTTATTTTTATTTGTTATTTTATTTTCTGATGTGTGTTTTATAGACACACACTGCTCCAACACATCTGCTCCTGGTCGTGATGAAGTTGAACCGGGACCCACCTGCACTCGGACCTCGGGCAGGTTGACCTTCAGGGCCAGCTCCTCTCGGCTGTACACGTCCGGGTAGTGGGACTTCTCGAAGGCTCGCTCCAGTTCGTGCAGCTGGAAGGTGGTGAAGGTGGTCCGGTTCCGGCGGTGCTTCTTCTTCTGGCTCTCGTCGTCGGACAGTTTTCCGTCTCGGTCCGGTGAGTCCGGACACACCGACGCGTCTCCGGTGCTGCTGCCGCAACACACACCTGCCGAGAGGAGAGACGGAAAATGTCATGTTTTAGCCACGTTTTTATAAACTTATGGAATTAAAAATGTACTCTTTTATTTTTTCCAGTGTATCTTTTTATGCGTAATTTGTTAGTAAGTTATTGGACAACTTTTAAGATCCAAAATAAGAGCTGATGATTTACTTGAGAATAAACTAGAAGTATTATCTAAAGATTCAAAATGACACACACCCCCTGGTGTATTATTTTTGCACGTAAATTGACTGATTTGATTATAAAAATGGAATTAAAAAATAAAAAGAATCCACTCACTGTCACAACTTTCTGAGTAGTGACTCTTCTTCATTTGGCTCACAATTACATTCCCATTACGCTCAGCATCTTTCACCAGAACTTTTTCTGCCATGCTGTAAGAGGCTGATTTATGGAAGATGGTGTCCTCTTTAAATCCCAGGATGGCCTCGATGCTGTGGACCGTGGACGGGTTGCTGCCGGGGCTCTGGACGGAGCGTGCGGAGGGAGACATGCGCTCATCCATCATCATCACTTGGGAAGTTGATCCAAGAAGCCACATTTGTTGGCAAAGTCCAGGAAAGAAAAAAAAATACACAAAAACTTCTCCTTAGATTTGTTGCTGCTCTTCTTCAGATTTTTTTTCTGATCAAAGCCAAATGTCGAGTCAGAGTCCAAGGATGTTGCCAAACTTGCGCGCAGGACGCACGGCAGGATCTTGCTCAGTGGTCGTGGAGCATCTTCGGAGGCGGGTTTTAAACTAGTGCCTGCCGTAAAACTCCCCCCCTCCTCCTCACCCCTACTCATGAGGCACCCCCGCTGCACGTCAGAGAGGGGGACGTCCCGTTGGATTTGGCCCCTTCGCTGGATTTAGGGGTAACTCGTGCGCCCTTGCAGCCTCCACACCCTCCCCTAAACTCCTCCCCAATCTCAAGTGCATCAGTCAGTGCAGGCTCTAAACCTACTTACATAAATCTTAAAACCATCTTTCCACTCCTCCAGATGTCATGTTCATGTCTGTGGAAAAAAAAAAAAGGAAAAAAAAAAAAAAAAGAGGAAGATTAGACCCACAGATTAAGGTACAACAAAATCATAATTACAAGATTTCTGGTCAGGACAGGGATTGCAAGATGGCAGCTTAATATTTAATCAAAGCGTCAAAGATATTGTTGCCAAAATGCATAGACGTCTGCTTTAGTGGAAGAATTATGATGTTGAGTTGACCTGAAGGAAAGATCGGGCACCTCCTGACACTTGTTGAATGAGAGTAAAACACTTTAACGGGCTCATTAAAACTGTGATTCATAAATCAGTGTTTCCTTTTTAACGCAGTTCTTATATGTGTTGAGTCAAAGAGGGAAACAAAAGACCAAACAATAACAATTTTGTGCTATAGCCACTTAACAGCAAACAAAGATTGACAGCAGTGTGGTAATCCTGCTTAAGGGGATTACATTATTTTACTCAAAAGGGTTAAAACCCCTAAAACTATTTAGCTTTTCCTAATTAAAGAAGGTGACCTTATCCTTTGTTTGCCTAAGAGAGGAAGGAGGGGGGCAAACGGACAGAGAGATGCCAACTGAACTGTGTTTTAATTAACACCAGAAAGTTAGTTTATAGAGCAAATGCTGGGACTTCTTGCATGTAAGCAGCGGTTTTGTGAAATAGGTCCGTGGTTCTAAAGATTCTTGAGATGGAGGTGAAAAAGTTTGAGTTGAAATTGATTTGATGTTATGTTTTGTGGCAAAAGTTGGTTGATCGTTCGGTTTCTTTCTCATTAGTTCAGTTCTTAGCTGCACTTGACATGCACACATGCTGAAGAAAGCATCAGCATAATTTAAAAAAAGGAACTTTCAGTGTCACCAGTAATGCAGAGATGAAGAAAAGGAAACGTCATACAGGCTTCTCAAACCTATTTGGGTAGTATTTGGGTTTGTATGAAACACTGACGCCAGATCTTTGTACATTTCATGGTCTCATTCCCCAAAAGCACCTGCTGTCCAGGAAACTCTACTTGGATCACATCATGAGACCTCAGTTAGAAGTTGTGCATTTTATTCACACTCATACTTTCAATCACAGAGACTTGAACCCGATCTGCTTCTCCGCTGCACTGTGAGTTCTTTTTCTTTTTACTTTTGAATGCAGCAGAGCTGTTAAGGTGAACATAAGCCCGGTCCTGACCTACACGACCCCCAGAGGAGTTCAGACTTCAGGTTGGCCACCATGCACTATTTGAACAAACTGAATCTAGACCTGCAAGGAGGTTAAATGCTGCCTGACCTGGCACAACGGTTTGTCATCAAACTCTTCAAGATTCACCTTCAAAAGGCAGAACTCACATTTTTCTTCAATGCTGAAGGCAAGTGCAGCAGCTGAGGCTTCAAAAGGGAGGACTATGTGCTGGTTAAGATATCCCAATAATAGGCTGTGCACATGTTAATGTCAATGTTTGGATCAACTTATGTCTATGAATGCTATTTGTCTACACAGAAACAACAAACTATCGCTCTGTTGTTATAGACACACACGTGAAAGAGTTGCTTCAAGTGGCAGGAACTGAATACGATCCAAACCTGAAAAGGATTGTAGAAAAGACAAAGGCTGACAGGTGAACTGCTGAATAAACTCAGGTTAAAAAAACAACCATAAAACCTGTTCGATATGTTTGAGGCCAACAAGTCATTGTTGCTGTTGGAGTGTATGCATGTGTTGTGCAACTCTTTGCACTGTTGCGGCTTTGTCTTTGGGCTCTTTATGCTGCACTAGTTGGCCATCATTGGGTTGAAGAATGTTTCCAGTGAAAACAATAAATCTGATGTACTTTTATATGAACCTCTAACTTGTGTGCAGTGCTGTCACTCAAATTGAGAGTTAAAAATGGCTTAAATACGATCATTAAAACATTAAAAAGTTCTTGATATCATTTAAAGTGGAGATTGAAACTTAAACAATAGTTCAACGTTTTGTGAATTTTGCTTTCTTGCCAAGAAGGAATAAAAAGATGCTGGACACCCCTCTGGTGTGTACATGGTGAACATGAGGCTATAGCCAGAAGCTAGTTAGCTTAAGTTAGCATTTAAACCGGAAAAAATACCAAAAACAACAATTTGGTGGTTTTAAGTGGGGTTATATATTTCTAGCCTGGAATTAGCACTGTTCAAGCTTTAGAAAACAGACAAGATATTAACAAATGTGTAAACTAGTGACCTGTTTAAGTGCTGGTGGCCTTCAAACTGGGCCAGGCTAGCTGTTTCCCTTTGTTTCCGCTAACCGAACCAAACAAAGCAAAGAATACACAGAATATCAACCACAATTAACAAGAGGTAAGAGCAGTGACATCAGTTAACTCTTGGAAAAAAAAACAAAAAAATGTCTTTATGCTAGCTGTAGTCAAAGCAAACTAAAAGTACACAGTATGTAAACCAGTATGTATGTTCTGTATCACAGAGGTCACAGGAGGTAGCGAGCTGCTGGTTGTCAACCTTTTCTGTCTGATATCTGTCACAGCCTCATAAACACGGTAATGCTATTTCTTATCATGCTTTACTTTTAGTCATTTCAACCGTTTATTTTTCACTTGTAGCAAATTCAATTGTATCAGCTATTTATCTATTACATTTAGCTGACGATATTATTGGTATATTCACTATGCTAAGCTAATTAATTCAACTTTTTTGTCTTTTACATTTAGCTAGCAGTATCATCTGCTTATCCTTTACTTTTAGCTAGCAACAGTAGCTGTTTATTAGCAATGCTTAGTTGCCAATTTCAAACATTTATCTGTTAAAGTTAGCTAATATTATCAACTGTTTATCTATTGTGTTAGTTAACTGTTACAACTGTTTATTCATTATGTTAAGCTAACTATTTCAACTTGTTTATCCTTTACCTTTAGCTAACAATACCAACTGTTTATTAGTAATGCTTAATTGCTGATTTCAAACATTTAGCAGTTAGCATATATTATTAACAGTTTATCCATTGTGTTAACTAGCTGTTCCAGTTGTTTATTCATTACTTTTATCTATTTCAACCATTTTCCTTTACTTATAGCTACGTTAATTATTTCGACTGCTTATCCATTATGTGTAGCTAGCTTTTACAACTGTCTATATTATGTTTGACTAAAAATATCAACTGTTTTACTTTTAGCCATGTTTAATTTTTCAGTTGCCTGTTATGTTTAGCTAACTATTTCAACTTTTTATATGTTACATATTACTAACAGTGTGGACTATTTTTTCCATTACTTTTAAATAACAGGATCAATTGTTTATTCGCTCTGTTTAGCTAACTATTTCAACTCTTTGTTCATTATTTTAAATTATTTATTTCAGCTGTTTCCTTTACTTTAAGCCAACAATATCAACTGTTTATTTATTATGTTGAGCTAACTAGTTCAAGTATTTATTCATTACTCAGCTACAAATATCAGTTATCTATCTATTACCTTTAGTAGCTACTTCAGTCATTTCTCCATTGCTCTAAACTAACTATATTAACCATTCATTCATTTTAGGCGATTTTAACTATTAGCCAACCATTTAAACATTTTATCAGTTACTTTAAACTATATATTTCACCTATACATCATCACTTTTAACTTACTATTTCAACATTTTTTATTATTCTGTCTGTAAATTCATGACCCTAAGCCTAAATATAAATATATTTGACCTTTTGGAGGCATCTTGAAACTCGGTTGCTGGGTGAATGACACTTGTCCACATGTTTGTGTCTTTAGCTAAGATGCATATGATAGACTTGTATATCTTCCTAGCTTTTATTTCCTGTGGAGAAGAAGAACAATATGGCTGTTATTCAAGCCTTTAGTTTGTCCTCTGATATTGTCATCTGTGGATAGAGAGACAGAGAGAGAGAGAGAGAGAGAGGGCACCGGCCGACAACCTTGGCTGCACTGATCCTATTAGATGTAATCTCCAGACTTGACAAATCCACAGCCGTTTACACTTTGGTTGATGTGAAACTCTGAAGGCCGCTTGTTCCCCCACCCCCTGTTCTGCTCGGCCTAATCATTAGTAACTGTTTGGATAATGCCCAATTAAATAAAGACGTATATCTCTCACTCAGTGCATTAGCCCTGATTCAGGTAGATTGGATTAATTGTTACTTAATCTTAAATATTTAATGGCTGTACAACACAACGCCCGTGTGACTGACCATTTTAAGCCACTGAGGATTTAAAATAAGAAACCCATAAAGCCCCCGAAGGTTTCTAAGCAAAACAATACGATAGATTAAATTACATATATTTAAGAAGAAATCTTCACAAACCGACACGTTGCTTGTATTCAATATACATCTTTATTTGAGCGATACATTTCTTTTCTCAGTGTGAAGTACCTCCATACATGTCATCAGCGTTTTATGTACATCGTTTTGATTTTATTCTGTCTTTTAAAATCAGGATTTGTGCAAATCAGCAAATGTCTCTGCAAATATTTCAGGCTTGATTACAGTTAAAACGATTAAAATGTCAAAACATATGAAGATCACCTGCTTTGTAGTAACACCAAAAAAAAAAGAAGAAGCTAAATATTATAATTAATTCAAACACCACATACAAACATACCAAAAAAAAGGAAAAGTGAAATACTCAGACAGGATTGGTTTTCTATAAGCAAGTCTTGGTATGTTGTTATTTATTTGACTGAAAAACACACTTTGAGAGACGAGTTTGTCTCATTTTATGACAAAGAGAGAAAAAAAGGTGGACATTATATCACAATTTGATAAGAATTTTAAAATGTGTTGTGGCCTGTGACCATATGAAAGAGAAGTAATACCATGTGGAGATGGTCCCTTTTCTACAGCATTCATCTAAACAAACAAACAAACAATAATAGGGGAGAAATGGGGCACCCTGGACATGATTTAAAGTATTTTAAAAATTTTTTTTTCACCCAATTTGTTAATGAGGAAACAGGGACATTCTTAGTAGATGTTCTAACATTCTGGTGTTTCCGGGCTTCGTTTTTATTACATGTAGGTGACGTGTGTTTTTAGTGTTTATAACAAAAGTGATGATTTTGTTTGTGATTTAAAGTGTAACTGAATCTCAGGCTTTTTAACACAGCTTGACCTGTTGATTCCCAGAAAGTGGTGAAACTGATTTATTTTTTTTTGTGTCTTCTTTCTTCGTCTTCGTTATTCAAACGGCCTCTCTGGCCGTTCACATGACAGAGCACTTCTCCTCTGCTTTGCTCTTCAGCTCAGTGACCGTGGCTGAGGCCTTCTCCTTCAGCTGGTCCATGTCCATGTTCTGCAAGTTTTGAATCTGGCCCATGAGGGAGTCTTTGCCCTCCTCCTCCGTGGCGTCCTCGTCCACCATCTTGAGCAGCTCCTCGGGCACGTCCACGTCGTCGCCGGCCATCTCGATCATGTTCTCATCCTGCTCGCTCTGCGGATGACAGCGACGGGATGGAGGACACGGTCAGAACACAGAAATGTAAGTTTAGGATGGTAAAGGTTGCTGCACCTAAAGCTTTAAATGTGGAAAAAAAAACTAGAAACAGTTCATAATAACTTCCTTCACATAAGAATCTTCACAAATACAACATAAAACTGATTCTTCCTTATACAAATTAGTCTTGTCGCAGTTTCGTTATTAGGATCATAAAGGGTTAAACAGGGTGGATGTCTCCTGCCTCCTCTGTTCTACGATTAAAAAAGTCTAAATGATGCTCCGTAAATTCCCATCATGCAGATGAAGTCTTTCTAAATTACCACAATGGATTGTATGAATTTAAGTTTTTTCCTGATTGGAGCAACGACTCCATGTTTACACACATCTGCATTGAATTGTTGCATGCAGCAGTAAACAACGTACAGGCTGACTTAAAGGCTTTCTGCAGGATTAACATGTTGCCCTGCTGCCTGGTGTCCAAAACATTTCTGCTTCCACTGTTACTGTCACATTTGAAACAACCATTATTAATTCAAGAACAAACCACAAATCTTAATGGTATGTAAATTTAAAAAAGAAGAAGAAGAAGAAAAAACGTCACTTTTGATTAATTATATTATCTTTTTTTGATTGTCCACCTCTTAAACTTAAACTGAAGCACACTTGTCTGAGTTTTAATTCACATTTTCCAGCAAACAAAGACGCAAACAGGACGACAAACAAGTCGATGAACTCTGGGATCTGTCTTAATCCACCGTCAAGTAACTCGCTGCACTCGAGGATATCCCCGCCGTCCGTGTTTTCTACGTTTCTTTTTCCAAAGCGCTCTTTGCTCATTTTATTATCCGCACCGCCACACTTTGTATTGTATTATAAAAAGTGCTAAATTTAAAACCTTTCAAACAAACTAAATCTAATCACTTACTGTCATGCAATAGACACTGCGCTGTGACTACTTTAAACTTCAATCTGTGGGATTATCTCAAACCTGCTTTAGCCTTTCCTCTCAGATAGTCTAAAGATATCTTCTATAGTGTTGCACGAGACCCTAATTCCATTAGATGAACAGCACCGACTTCCTGTTTCTCCTCATAGTGTAAACTCTTTTCCATTACATATATATGTTTGTTTCTTACTCACGCTGCCGTCTTGTTCTCAACCACCCACCCATTAAAATAAAAGAATCAGCATAATAGGATACCCTTTGCTGTCTTATTGTTTCTGAAAATCAATTTAAAATGCACACGTCAGCTCTAATAAAGACACTTTGGTGTTTGTCATCCGTCCCCTTTCAAATCGACGCGTAATGTAAACATCATTTGGAGGGAATAATTAGATATATATGTGCTGCTTCCTGCCATTGTGCTCGTCATCTTTGTGCGGTTTCAATTTAAAAGAGTGAAAAGAAATGCGGCTATTGTTTAAAAGAAGAAAACCCAACAATAGCGTGTCTGTTGTACAAGATTATTAGAAATGCCTCCACCAGCCAAGGTCATCAACGCATTCAGATTGATAAAAAAATAATGATAATTGAAAGGCGGCAACAGAAATTGATTTTGAAATGTCACCATAAAACAGAAACACTTCATCACAAGCATTTTTTAGTTTTACCGATCACCACTAATTCTTAGATTAGACGTCTCTCTACTGGTCTCTGTCGTTAAACAGCTTGAACAAAATCCCTACGTACCTTTTGTGCTCCGTCCATTATAGCTTATTTTTTTCCTTTAGGAGTTCCTTCGAAATCCTCCAAGCGCTCAGTCTACATCCACTAAGATGCTGTTGTTTCTTAAAACCAGTTCACACTGCCTGGTTGTCCCTAATGAGCCTGGGACACCTGCTCAGTGGCATTTGGCTTTGTAAGACTCAAGGTGCAATATGGGACGCATGGGCTAACGTCTCCAGGACGCTGGTCCGATGTCTTTCCCACTAATCTACTGGCATGACCTCCGCCTCCTGTTGTTTAGGCTGCTGCTGCCAAGAGCTGCTGTTAGATTAAGTTAACCGCCACTAACCATGAAGCAGCTATTTCTACCTGCGCACTTAGCTCAGTCATCAAAATCTGCTTCCTTCTGTCACTGTAAAGACTTTTAATAAAGCGATGATCACCACTATATATCAAATGTTGTACACAGTCTAATTTAAGAATCCTGAATTTCAAAAACCAACAGAGCAGCACATAAATTTGGAATAAAATGCTCATTATAGTGTAGCTCTGAGCAGGTATGGGTGCTCATTAATGTATCTGTTAACAAGGGTAACCCCACCTACAAACCCCCATCAATGGATTGTTGTTGAAGCTATAGAATAAGTTTTTAAAGATAATTAATATTTGTCTATATGTGTGTTTACAACTGCGTCACAGTGTGCTGTAAACACTCATTAAATGTTTGTATTCTGCTCATAAATGCCGCAGAGCTTAATATACGTTTTACCTTGACGATAATTAACTTTGAGACAATAGTTGTGTCTTTGAACAATGGAGTTCATTCATGTGTAGCGTTAAACGAACTTATTATAATTAAGCTTAAACCTAAACTAGGAGCCACACAATGGTCAAACTCTCAAGTGTTTACCTTTGGCAGCCTGTATTTTTCTCTGAGGCAAACCCTGAGTGTTGCCCTCTCTGCCTTCTTGTGTAGGAAGTCTGCATCTCTCTCCATCCTGAAAGAGGGAAAAAACATTATTAGTACAGAAACATGTATTTGTTGGTCACAAAACCATTCCAGATGAGCGACAATCAAAATGTCGCTGACGCACAAAAGTGCAAGAAAATACCAGTAACATGGATTTTGTTGATCTTCAGTTCGTTTACGTTTGTCCTTTGTGACTTAAATGCAGCATCAAAGATTTTTTTCATCATAAGGATTTTCAATAAACGTCATTTTTATTCTGGATTCCTTTTCTAAAAGCTCATTCTACTAAACATACATTTCTACACACAAAGATAGTTTAAGTCACTGTAACATCCTCTACTTTTAAAATCCAACATTTTATCAATAGGTTCTTGATATGTTCTGTTTTAGTTGCAAGAAAGCATAGTTGTGTTACTGATAATTGGCTTTTATTTTGGATGATAGACTTTCATTATCATTAACAGCTGTATTCTAAACATCTGTACAGATTTTGACAGGTGTCTTGTTCCAGTGCTTTCAAAATATTCTTGTGTAAAGAGCTACAACTATTTGATATCGTCTTATTTCTGTGATCCTCATTGATTTTGTAGCTTTCTTTAAAAAAAAAACAAAAAAACTATCCAATGTGTAACCTGTGGGCTTGTGTGTGACCAATGTTTAATGGCTTTTGCACCAGAATCATATACGTAAAATACAAGCTGCACACTCAAGCTGCAAGTATGTTAAACCAGAAAATGCTTAAGATGTAAATTGCTGACCAATATTTATCACTTCTTCCAATCAGAGTGATCCAATGTCTGAATCGTGATCAAAGGTGACTTGCTGCTGCAAACACCATCGCTGTTTTTCAGTAACTTTGTGAGACGCATTCTCGCATTTTCAGGCCGACGTACTTTCCCTCAGCCAATTAAAGATGGGATTATTAGGTCAGACTGAGTCAAGCAGATTTGAAATCAAGCCAAGACACCCACAAGTTGAACTGTAGTGAAACAACAACACACTCTATACGGAGGTTTTGAATAAACGCCCATTTGTTAAAATGCTCTGGACAGCCAGACAGATTATACGGACATGTGGACGGTTTTCAGGAGGAGCATATTATCTTTCATGTTCTCTCCTAATAATTCACATCCCCCATGTTTATGTTTGTTGTTGCGAACCTCGATGCATTAGTGGAAACATGCAATTAAAGATAATGTGGTCATTTTTATGTCACCTTTTAAAACAGATAAATGAAGTCCTTAAACATGGGAGCAGGGAGGCAGGATTAATCTTGTTATGTAATTCTGACTGGAAAGATCTGCTTTATGCTGGAAAATCTGTTCTGTTTCCAAAAAAAAGGCCAAATGGGTACATTTTTAGAGGAAAATGTTAATTTAGTTGAATTTAGGATGGATTGATCACAGTGTCAATCAACTGTAGTATTTAAATATTTAGTCAAAAAGAAGTAGATGTGAGTGGAAGGTTGGGGTTAAAAAAAAAAGATAAAAAAATAGATACTCAGTTGGAAATAATATAAGATTAACTATAAAATGCTTCTAAAAACACCTGTGTGTATAATGACAGGTAGGCTAACTGTCCAATAATGTGGACTGTTTTACAACACATACAACATAATTATCATAATCAATAATATAAATAAATGTAGAATTCAGTAAAATATTTCAAGCTGAAAATAAATCTATCATTTCACAATTACTGGGATTCAAAACTACACCGTCACTAAAATGTTTGCACTAACTGTTCCTGACACAGATGACAGATTATAAGAGATTATTGATCCAGGGCCTGTATGATATTTAGCCACAGTGGATTATTATTTAGAAAATATATTGTAGAAAAAAATAAAAATAAAAAGAGAGAAAAGATCCTGCATTTTCCACTATAATGGACGCTCTGCTGTGACCTTCAGCAACAGATGCATCTCTCAAAAACACACGTTGCTCGTTGTAAACTGGTGAAAACAATAAACACACGGGGAATTATATTTAGCAAGTTTGGGTTTGAGTAATAAAGTGTTGAGACAGAGAGGGACAACAGTGAGAGAATGTGATGACAGAGAAAACACTTTGTCAAGGTCAGATTGCACAGTCTCCAGCCATTCTGCTGTTCGATGGGCCGGTGGCACCGACTCAAAATGGAGTGCTGTCCATGTTGCTACTTACTTCTCCTCCACCAACTGTTTTTGGTACTCTTCATACTCCTCGCGTGTCATCCCTGCTGCTTTGGCTGGATCTGAGGGGGTGGCCTCCTCTTCTTTGTCACCTCCGCCACCAAGACCCATTCCTGACAGGGGGTTCCCGATCATGCTCTTGATCAAAAAAGCCATCTTGGGTCGTGTGACTGTTTAGGATGAGGATATTTTTTTTTGTAGATAAAAATGATGATGCTGCTCCCCTTATGGTGCCCTTCGCTTTGGCTTCCAATAGCTGTCAAATCCAGTGGTAGCTCTCTAGCTAACCTGCTGCTTGTCTATGGAGCCAAGGACACACTGACAACAAGCAACAGACACAAACACACACACACACACTTAAACACACACACACGTTTTGCCTCGGCCATAATCTGGATTTAATCCTCCCTGCTCCACTATGCTAAGAGGCAGATGGCCTGTTTTCTCTCTATTTTTAAATCATGCAGACCTTTGTGGATATCTTTTTTTTCATCGTTTTGACACTTTGTGCATTCTTTTGCAAAACTTAGAGTCACACTGATGAAAACAATGCTTTTGGAGCTGGGTGTCCTCACTTTGGAAATACACATATGTTGCTTCCACCCACTGTTGCTTAATCATATTAGTAAAGTAGGGTTCGGCCCGTGTGCAGCTTATACTGCTGAGACCAGGCAGCGTAGAGAGAGAGAGAGAGAGAGAGAGAGAGAGAGAGAGAGAGAGAGAGGAGAGCGGGATTACAATCCTGTTTATCCCCATGAAGCCCTCCTTCATGCAGTGCTATTGTTCAGTGGGAGGATG